TATTTAACGTGCGGTGTATGATGAATTTGATCTTGATGACATAATTGTTAAGATTGATAATTGATACTTTAAAGAGTTGTTTTTCATTCAAAAGGTAAAAGCAAACTATAGTAATTAACTTGAGTGATATAAATCTCATCGTGCCGCCAAACTTCTAAACATAAGGATCATGCCGAAACTGTTTCGTATGTCAAAAAAATATTAAAGATTGTATTTGTTTAATATAAGGAACAATTTCTTAGTCTTATTTCTTGGGTATTCAAAATACCCTGGATTCTTCACTTTAAGTGTGACAAAGTCGCTTAAATGATCAATGCAAATTAGCATCGCGTTACCAAAACAACTCCAAGACAAAACGATTGAAAATGCTCTCTGTTCATTTTAGCTCAATAACCACGTATTTGTAATAAACAGTTTACAAAATATAACAAAGGTAACACTTACATAAGTACAAAAAGAACATATAAATAATACAAATTAACAAGACAATACATTGTACTAATAAAGAAACCAAAGAAAAATAAAAAATAAAATAATAAATAAGAATTGACACCCTTGTCATGACTATTCTAATAATTTCTGTATCAATTTGTATTTGCTTGCATGTGTGCACAGCCTATCATTTTTGAGCTATCTCAAATTCAATTTTTTCGTAGTCCATAAGTAGTTTTTTGTAATGAATTATGCTAGGTCTGTGCCCTTTCTTTTGCTTATCAGAGTAAAGAGTATATTTATAAAGACTAAGTAAAAATTCCAGAAGGCTATCATTTGAAAATCCTAACACAATAATTGATAAGTTTAAAGATGGCAAAACTATATTAACTGTCTTCAACCATACTCTTAGTTCTGCATGTATAAAATGTTTTAGAGACTTCACAGTTTAAAAAAAATGTTCTATTGTTTCAGGATATTTATTACAGAAAGTACATAATGATGATACACTTATTTTTGCTTTATATATTTATGATTTAGAAAAAGTGAATTATTTAATATCTTATATTGAAACTCTCTTAGCTTGTTATCGTTTGATAGGCTGTACACCCTTTTATAGACTACACGCCACTCAATGTTCTGAATGCCAAGTTTAGTTTCAAAATATTTCAATCTGTGAAGATGGTAATTTAAATTTCTTTTTAATAATTTCTTTATAAATTTCTCTGGATGTAATTACGGATACAGTGAAACCCCTCTATACCGGACCCTCAATATACCGGAATTCTCTCTAAACCGGACAAAATCTTTGGTCCGGAAATTTTTCCATACATCTTTTGTAAAATTAACCTCAGTATACCGGAACCTCTCTACTCCGGAAACCGGACGGTTTTTTCGGTACCAAACGATATTTTACAATAGAATTGAACCCCGCTAATCCGGAAAAACTTAACCCAAACACTTGTTTTTCCATTCAGTATTGTTTTTTTCGTGTTTTATGTTGAGAGCAACTTTTGAAACTCGCATAGTTTTTGATTGTTTTATATTCACTTTTACTCGAACTTTCGTTTACATGTTTGTTTACACTGATGCCAAACGATTATAGACACAAACGTGTTTTGAATAGGTGTGATATCGCATTTTGAACATTACAAAGTGCTCGAGTTTTGCTAGGAGTTGTTTCAGTCCATTCAGTATCGGTTTATTTATTGTACTTTGGTACATGAATTCACTCTTTTTTAATCTTTTTGTCAAATTTATTGATAACACTTAGTGTATCCAGGTTTATTTATTTTTCTCTTTCAGTTTGACAAAGAGGGTTGCTATTGATTGTGAGTTTGTTGGTGTGGGCTGGAATGGAAAAAGGAACATGCTTGCAAGAGTATCAATTGTTAATTCACATGGTTGTAAGGTCTTTGATRAGTATGCTGCTCCACAAGAGGCAGTAACTGACTATAGAACTACTGTTAGTGGAATTAGAGCATCGGATCTCAAGCATGGTAAGCAGAAAATTGTGAGAAATTTCTATAACAAATTTAATATTTTTCAGTAGCTTTGTAACTGTTAGTCAAAACAAATTAAAGATTTTCAATGCTAATTAAAGCTTTGCATAATTAATTCAACCACTATGAACTTAACAAGGGTTAACTGTCGCGTTAACCAAGAATTTTATCATCAAAGATATAGACCACAAGGAATCCTGGGGTAATCAAAAATTCAAAAAACATGTTACATGTATATTATAGCATTAATCTTAGAGAAGGTAACTTTGTAGGTCAAGACAATGATTATTACAAAGAATGTGGTGAATTTGTTTCACTGACTGACYGCATTTTGAAGAGGTATATTATGTRAAATTTTGTAATAYTTATTGTTTTGACATACAAAGTACAAAGTGGGAGTCTGGACAGMCTGCAGCCTATTGCTGAAAYGATCAGTGGTCTTCTAACTGAACTAACTTGTTTCTAAAGGTACAGACTTCAAGACTATACAAAAAGAAGTAGCGGATATACTAAAAGGACGTATTCTTATTGGACATGCTGTCAAAAATGATTTAAAAGTAATTATGATTATTGTACATTTATTGATTTGATGATTAAGGAGTAATGCAACTTTACATTAATTCTTCCTTAATGTGAATTTCTAATGTATTCATAAATCCAGGAAAGAAAGTGCAATAGTGAAAGTGTAGTAATGTGGGATACGTAAAAAATGAAGGAAAACATACAAACATTTTCATTGTAAAATGTTGTGTACAGTGTACTTTATGAGTTATTGAGAACAAACCTATTGAGTAGTCAGTGGTGTGCACTGGAGGGCTTGAGAGGTTCCTAACTTCTTTGGCAGACAAAGTCTTTGAAAAATGAAGCCTTATTTGCCAAATCAATAATGCACACGTTTACAACAGTTTGTTTGGTGTGAATMCGAAACAACACTTGTACAATCGGAACTCTACCTTTASTCTCTTGAAACCACAAAAAAGCTTGAACAATCCTCAGTCCACTTCCTTCCCCACCATGAAACTCCAGCTCACATCTCTGAGTAACTACCACATTATATGATTTTTTTATACTTGTCTCTGCTCTAGGTTCTACTTCTTGATCATCCCAAAAAGGACACAAGAGACACAGCAAAGTACAAACCTTTTCAAAAAATAGTAAAGGTAATCAACGCTCTGACAAAATGGCTGCMACTTATTGCCATAAATAATTTAATATAAACTATATCAATAATAATTTATAGCTTTTTTGTCTTTATTCTAATGAAAGCCTGTGTTTGTTTCAAGAAAATATTTACTTTGTTTTCTCTAAATTCTAATCTTTGCTTCATTGTAGAGCAAGAATCCATCCCTTAAAAAGCTGTGTCATGAAATATTGCACACAAATATTCAAKACGGAGAGCATTGCTCAGTAAGTTAAAATAAAATGCATTTTCTGTCGGGAAAATAAGAGACTGAGCTAGTCACGTGATTAAATCTCTTATGGACTACGAGTTGATACTTTCAACTGTCAAACAAGCTTTAGGGCAAATWTGACGAAATGCCATAAAGAACAATATTTTTCGGAACATTTCTCGACGATTTTCGTTTCAATCCAAACATGGACAGAAGTACATGTACGTCTGTCATGGYCTATCATAGTCGTTCTATCATAGTAGCCAATCAGAATGCTAGTTATGTTATAGCCCATAGTTTGATAAATATTACAAAGTATTATTAATAAACAATTTTAAAAAAATATTTAACCAGGTCCAAGACGCACAAGCAGCTATGAGGCTTTACATTCTTCACAAACGACAATGGGAGAAAAAAATAAAAGAAGGTAAATTCAGAAGAAAATCTGACAACACTAAAGAAGATGAAGGCAGCTAGTAACGTCTTGTCTACATGGTCACGTATAATAGACTGTTCACACAAAGCCATTAATAACACCGTACAAAGCAAAGCCGAGTCTTATGGACGCCSCTGACTTTGTCCTACAAACAACTTATCAAACGAGAAAAGATATCGCAAGTTTTACAGGCGTTCTCATTTTGCCACACCTCATTCAGAAAATTCGAGGAAATACTGATTTTGTCGCGGTCAGCTTCTTTTTTTGCATCGCGCGGCTGCAATGCCAGAGCTGCAACATTTACTTAATAAATGTGATCATTCTTGTGGTGAGATTCATTTTTAACTCATTTTTAACTTTTTAAGCAATCGAAGAGTTATTGGAGGGGGACGATGTGTGTCACTCACTCACTTTCCTGTAAACTCGGTTGCCTTAGCAACTGCTATATTTTGACTTGTTAATTAGTTGAAATTTATCTTCACGGTCT